TTTAGTGGTCTATACTTTTGGTTTATTCGCTTGCAAAAATTTTTAACGAAATTCGGTATGTTACAAAAAACATCGACGTTACAATGTAATGAGCTAATTATCTGAGCGTACACAATGCACACTTTACTGTGTCTTTTATATGAATATAGCTTATGTGGATTGTCATTTAATGCGCGCTATCTGAAGTCCGCGCATTGACGTAGGGGCGCTTTAAGTTCAACCTGGCTCTTTTCAGATGGGTCTTTGTAAATGTAAACGAAAGAAGGTCACCAATCTATTCTGCTTCGAGCATCGTGTCAACGTTTGTGAGTTTTGTCTGGTGACGAACCATCCTAAGGTATCTGTGGTTAACTGTCTTACTTTCCGTTAGTGTGTAGTTAAGTCCTATCTTCATTGGCTTAAAGATAGCGACTATTCACCACAGTGTTCTCTCTGCTTACAAGACTTGGACAATGGTGAAGATTGCGTTCGTTTACTATGTTTAGGTTGGTGCCTTTCAATACTTGACTCTCACTTTAGATATTTTCCATTGGCGGTGCTTGGACAACTATGCTTCGCAGCTCCCAGCGGCAACAGCACCTGCGGGATACGTGTGTCCATCTTGTTCTATGTGTATAATACCTCTCATGAATCAGGGCGGCCCCGTTGCCGAACTTTTGCGCCAAAAACTTCTGTCTGCCAAATGGGCAAAACCGAATCGCCAGAGTAGGTCTTCCATCTCAAAACCAAAGGCTGTGATCCAGTCCAGAGTCGAAAAAACCTTTGCTGTTTTTGATGGTATGAAGAGTGCTCCTGTGGTTCATAATCGACTGCACACTTAACCCCTGCGTTCTCACCTAGAATCGAAGCTTCTTGACACATCGGTGGACACCTACGCAAGCCAATTTCTTCGTGACCAGGAAATGGTCGCCCCTCCTACGATGTCACCCAAGCCCATTGAGACAGTGGTGCCCATTGAATATCCTGCAGCTGGTGCATCGACAACATCTCGCCTCGAGTTCAAGGAAAGCTGTCCTGACAACCCAAAACAATCCTTTCAAAAATTCGTAAATCCCCGTAACTTAGTAGTTGATGACGAAGACACGGATAAGTACAAACGTCATTCGGTTACAACCCCGAACTCCAGCGGCCAATTTTTGGGGTTAGCTCACTTTACACTTCTGGTTATAGTATGAAATGCGCCTTATATTTCATTACTTCCTACCAGATTCTCATAGGCTTTCGTCATTGGTAGGTTGCCCTGAGGGTGTAATGTGATATATTGTAAATTGAGTCACTTATTGTGCGTTTCCGTCCGCATCTGTATCTTTGGGGCTAGTTCTTCGTCTATTGTAATTAATGCCCTTGCCTTACAAAAATAGCGTCTATAGGCGTATCTTGCATTTGGGTTTTAGTTTGACGCGCTGCATCCCCTTGGTCCCACTACGGCTTCTCCACCGGCGCCGAACCCTTTGCGTATTTGCAGCCGTTATCCTTACCTGTTTTGCAGCACTACTAATCACAAACCTATCAATCACTCTTCCGCTCCCTCAAGATACCCTAGTGCCTGCCCGACCCCATCTTCCCGCTGATGTATAACCCAGTTGTCCACCAATCCGCCACTTTACTGTGATCCCTTGAATTTAACATCGGAATTTCCACTTTGCTACGTTCGACACTGAGCAGGAGGGTCATTTCGGCTTGAGTGAGGAGTTTGGTCTAAATACCAGGAGTGGATGGCCAGCGGACCATCATAGCAGCAAGGACGATGCGCTCCTAGCGCAACGGTAGAGACGGCGGTAATGCGGGGGGAGATTGTGCCACCGGAATAGCTAACTTGCTGTGGTTCACCGTCAAGAAGAGGCGGAACGGGAAAATAACAAGTTTGGATATATTAATGATTTATAAACGACACACAGGATTAGGGTAACAGTGAGGGGGGTACAAACATGTAGCATTGAGTCTAGCCGCCGAAACCATAGAGCGTGCGTCCTTGGCGCTTCAGCGCGTAGACCACGTCCATAGCCGTGACAGTTTTGCGTTTTGCGTGCTCGGTGTACGTGACAGCATCACGAATGACGTTCTCTAAGAAGACCTTAAGTACACCCCGAGTCTCCTCGTAGATAAGACCAGAAATGCGCTTCACGCCGCCGCGACGAGCAAGACGACGAATAGCAGGCTTAGTTATCCCTTGAATGTTATCACGAAGAACCTTTCTATGACGTTTCGCTCCGCCTTTGCCAAGACCCTTTCCGCCCTTTCCACGTCCAGACATGTCCCCAACTTTCCGATTTCAAATCAGCCAATGACGAACCACCTCCATTATGATTCCTAGAGGCGCTATTTATGTTTCGTGCAATATGGGTTTTGATTGTTTAAAACAATCTCACTGCCATACCTTGTAATAATCAATCCATTAGGCATTTGATTTCACATTAATAAATAAGCTAGAGATATTCAAAATAAATTTTATGGCTGGAGCTCAAGCTGGTCTGTAACACACTGCATCCGTTGCCACACTACACCACACCAACTCGGCAACCAACGAAGTTCTCTCCCCACGCCCCTGTCGAAGGGGCGCAATATCCATTCCCCCCTCCCCGGCTTGATTCCAAGTAAATGTGGCCCGAGGCATGCGACTGCAAAAACGGAAACAGCAACCATTTCCCACCCAATGTACGCCACAGATAGAAGACTAAGCGACCAACGCACAGACATCAAATTCAGCAAGGAATCAAACCAGTCTGGCTCCGAAATTATCGATTTCGATGGTACCAAATGACAGTGAGACAGTTGAGAATGGCATCGACTAAGTCAGTAGATGAAAATGTATTCACGAAAGACC